TCCCATGTATCTCTGCTCGCTTCTCTCTTTTATATCTCAAAAGAGATTGGCTTAAGACACTATCCAATCTTGTATACCTCATCAGTATAACTGCCGCTAATTCATCTTATTAGATCATAGTGATTGAATTTACAACACATAAGGAAATAACATCAGATTATAAAATGGTACACAATTATGCAATACTGGGAATCACGACCCAGCCAAGTTGACAGATATTTTGGGGGGACACAATTCAATCCATGACAGTAACCAATGCCTCTTTTGCTTCCAGAGATATTAATAAAATCAACGATGCCCTTGCCGACCAAATAACCCTTTTCATTAAGTACATGACCACATGCATGTGTGGGATCCTGATGGGATTTTTCAGGGGTTGGAAACTGACCTTGGTTATTATTTCTATCAGCCCTCTCATTGGGTTTGGAACAGCCCTCATTGGTCTGGTAAGAATGTCTTCTTGCTTCTCTCCTTTAAAGACATTTGCACTGACAAGCAGCCAGAAATGTGAAGTTTGAGTCCCTTCTTCTTTAGTCAAACTCACTATCTCTACTTTGATTTATTTTGTTTGATTATTCCCTGGTATCAAATAGCATTCCATAGATTAGGAATTCATGATGTTTTAATAACTTGAATATTATTTCATTAATAACAATAACAACTGTATTTATTATAACAACTACATCTACTAATCTGCCAAACACTTTTAGGAGCTTCATATCCATTATCTCTAATCCTTTACAACAATCTTATAAAGGAAATACTAACTTCGTTTTACATATAAGAAACTGAGGCCAGAGAATTGAAGAAACTTGAGACTTGGGACTGCAATGCTAGTGAGTGAAAAACAGGATTCAAGTTCAAGTGAGCCTGACTCCAAATCCACGTTGTATTAGTTTCCTAGGACTGCTGTAATAAAATATCACAAACTGGGGGGCCTACAAGAACAGCAATTTATTGTTTCATGGTCCTGGAGGCTAGAAGTCCAGCGTGTCAACTGGACCAAGCTCCCTCTGAAGTCTCTAGGGGAAAATCCATTCTTGTCTCTCTTGGCTTGTAGATACATTTTTCATGTGGCTGTCCTGCTTCTGCCTGTCTGTCTGCCTCTTCTCCTCTCTTATAAGGACATCACTCTAATATGACCTTATGTTAAATTAACTGACAGCGTCTTAACAGACCCTATTTCCGAACAAGGTCAGGTTCACAGGTACCAGATATTAGGACTTCAGCATATTTATTTGGGGGACACGATTCAATTAACAACACCCACCAGCTCTCCAATATGCCTATTACTTCCCATAGTCTCCCAGTCTCAGATGCTCTCCTCAGAAAGGCACAACAAACACATAGAGATCAGTAACAAAAGCATAAAAGATATTTCTGCCATCACAACTGTGTTCTCCGTTCCATCTGATTAGCTTCAGAGAGACAAGGTTACTTGACCTATTTTAAGCAGTATCCCCATCACAGTCTTGGCTCCCCAGGTATTCAGTTCAAAAGAAAGTGTAGGAATAAGAATTTTAGGTCGTGCTAGTTTTAAAAAAAACTCCAAAGGACTGAGAAAATACTATTTCTCACTGTTAGAGCAGCCCCGCTAGCAGGCAGGTCACAGGATCAGGCACAGTAGGAATTTGCTCTAGAAGAGAATAGAATTTAAGTGAAAAGCTACTCACACACTGAAATCATTCAGCAACAGGCACCAATCTCCATGACTAGATTTTCTAGCAAAATATTCTCTACAGTCTACTGGCTGTATTACTTTAACATTTCCCAGGTAATATAGAAAATGGTTTACAGTGATAACAGCAAAGAGCTCACCGCGTCCACCTAAGTAACCATCTGGCTCTATCACTTACAAGTTGTGAGATCTCCAGAAAGATACTTAACTCATCAAAACCTCATTTTCCTCATCTTTAAAACAGGAATAATGCCTTCCAAAGTCATTGTGATGATTCAGGGCGTAATCCACGTAAAGCGCTTAGCATAGTGTCCGGCATAGAGTTAAGGCTGAATAGATATTACCAGTTACCAGTCGCCGTTCAGTCAGTTCTGACTCATGGCAACCCCATGTGTTTCAGAGCAGAATTGAGCTCCATTGGGTTTTCATAGCTGTGGCTTTTCAGGAGCAGATTGCCAGGCCTTTCTTCTGAGGCACCTCTGAGTGACTTTAAACCTCCAACCTTCCAGTTAGTGGTCCACTGCTTAACTGTTAGTGCCACCCAGGGATTCCAAATTTATTTTTTCCAATCCACCACATCATGCAAGCTTTATGACAGTCTTTCCTACCACCTGCTTTCCAGCTTTGCTCCAGGGAACCCTCAGCTTCTATGAAGGGGCTTCAGGGATCTGCAAACATTTGATTCAACTTTTTTCTTAAGTACACTTAATCTATCTTTTCAAACCTCTGCTAAATTAACATATATACTCAAATGGATCGTATGCGACATTTTAAAATGCTAGAGACCAAAAACATATTAACGTGCCCTGCCAGGTTAACTTGGTTTTAAGCAGATGTACAGCTTAGTTTTTCCTGGCCTGTTGGTGCCCATATTTCAACTTCTTATAAATGTGTCACTGATTTGGAATGCTGCAGCTCTGCACCAAGCTCTTCTTGAATTCAAGTCTGTGCATGTTTGTTTGTGTAAAAGGATACAAGCAACTTCCACTATGCTCAATTCAAAGGCAGGACAAAAAGGGGAGAAGGGGAGGTGATATATGACATATAACAAGTTATCACAAATTTGGATGCTTTTGTCTAACTTCCATATTTATGATGAGAAACCTGAGCAATTGTTAGATAAATATCTAACCCTGGGAATCCTAATTAGGAAATCCTGACAGAAGTCTTCTAAACTCTTGTATCACTTTAATTGAAGTGCCCTGAGATTATTCAATTGCCATTACAATTGAAACTGATACCATTTGCAACTACTTAATTTTCTCATTACTGGGCAGCCAATACACATTTCAGAAATAAATTAGATGAGGAATATGATAAAAAACTGCAATGTCATCCGTAACATCCAAATTCAAAATTTAATGTTGATAAAAATAGCCTCACCTTCTTTATTGTTGGTTTTTTAATTCACAGATTTTATAATACGTGGACTTGTGAAATAAATATATAGTAACCACTTTTTACTTACATTATAAATTAGAATTCTATTTAAAGTTTTGTTTGAAAAGTCTGCCACTAAAAATTTGAAAAACTACTGGAGTATAACAAACTCCCTGAGTCTAGGTATAATATATATTTTTTAGGTTTCTGACTTAGTTGATCTTCTGTAATAACTGCTTTCCCTCTTCTTGTTTCTTAATCTTTGCCCGGGGTTAATTCTAACTAGGACTCATCCTAATCCAATTTTAGAACAAGTAACTTGTTTACTATTAACTGCAGTTGTCTAGTCATTTCCATTTGTAAATATCAGAACTATAAGTAGTTGAGCTCCTATAATTGAGTCAGATGGTGTAATATTATTCTGAAGCTTTCTCTTATGAAAGTACCTCTGCAGCATCGTGATTTGCATGCTCAGAACCTCTCTTTCGTTCCACAAAGGGATCGTAGGCCACATCTTAACATGCTAATTATGAAGTCTGCATGAGCCTCTGGTCTTTGCCTCTGGTGTTTGTCTAAAAATTGTGCAATGGTCTTTGGCCAATATCAGTGATACATGACCTGGTTTGACTTGAAAACTTTATTAGCATAATTAGACGGAAACACTTGGGTTTCACGAACTGCTCTATTTGCCACTTGTTCTGTGGGAGGGCTTTTGAGACTGACTTTCAATGGTATCATTTTGATTTATCAATAGTCAAACACTCATGGATGAGACTTAACATGGACCCAACATGGACCAGATTGTTTTCCTCCTGTGAATGATGTGACAGTGAGAATCTAGTCTTATCCTACAAGCTTATTCCATTAAAAGAATCACAGAATAACAGGCTGCCTTACCTAATTACCTGGTTGTCACTTTTTCTTTTCTTCTTTTGGATTTTAGAGTGTGTCCAAGTTTACTGATTATGAGCTGAAGGCCTATGCCAAAGCAGGGTGTGTGGCTGATGAAGTGATTTCATCTATGCGAACAGTGGCTGCTTTTGGTGGTGAAAAAAGAGAGGTTGAAAGGTTGGTTAAATGAAATGTCTGTCATTTCCCTGAATTTCGTTGATCAGCATAGCACCCTACATCTTTCTCATTTTGTACAAAGTGGCAGATCTGCCTTGATCTATGGTGCCTTGAGTAGTTTTTGTTTAAGACGTAGCTAAGCAGAGTGCTTTAGATTGGTCAAAGAAAGACTAGGAGTTCCAAGCCTTTACCTACGTGTTCTTGAAGAAGCTTTGATTTACGTTTTTTAGAAAGCCAGCTTTAGGTTTGATATTTGTTTTAAACTCTGGTAGAATATAATATGTGTATACATATTACACCTCATGGCAGTCTATAACATTGCTTGCTGTCGTTAAAGAAAAGCCTACATGATACAAAATGCAATTCTACACATTTTTATTGAACACATTTTATTCACCTACTGTAACGGCATGATCTTTACAAAGTCTGGTAGGAATTCCACTTCATCAAAGAGAATTTAGTACTAGCATATTATAGAGCATCATTCCAGAGATTAATTGTTAATGAAAATAAAAAAACTAAGGGGTCAAAACAACAGAGTTGTCAAAACATGTGATTTTGTTTACTCTTTAATTCACCTAATATTTTTGAGTGCTTACCACATGCTTACCATGTTACCTTGGAGCCCTGGTGGCACAGTGGTTAAGAGCTATGGCTGCAAACCAAAAGGCCTGCAGTTCGAATCCACCAGCCACTCCTCGGAAACTGTATGGGCAGTTCTGCTCTGTCCTATAGGGTCAGCTATGAGTCAGATTTCCTACAGGGTTGCTATGAGTCAGGATTCCAACTATGAGTTGGAATTGGCTCGATGACAATGAGTTTGTTTTTTTTTTGGTACCATGTTCCAGGAACCAATTTTATAAAATAACCACCAACTTAATGTAAACTCTTTTTTTATGTGTCATAGGTCTATGATGATGATGTCATTCTCAATTGCTATCAAATATACCAAATAAAAAGGAGACTAGGTTTTACAATCTCTAATTATTCTCTTTTCCTTTTCTTCTTTTACTTCCTTTGTTTTGTGAAATTACCTTATTTCTCATAAAAAAATTTAGTAGTATATTTCCTCCACCCTGAAGGATGTTAATTATCTTTTATTGTTAATGAAAGAGGCAATGTGAGTTTTTTAAAACAATTATAGCAAACATAGGATAGAGCTTAAGTTTGTGCCCTGTGAAATGTTTAAAGTTATCCATGAATTTATTTTTTGAGGTATAGGAGGGCAGTTACAGAACGCCTGAACTGTAAGACAATGTCCACGGTTAATGGCTAGATCATAGAATGACTGAAGCCTAGTCCTTAGGTTGGGAGGGCTTTGGTAGTTCAGTGGTGAAATGCGCACCTTCCATTCAGGAGACCCAGGTTCGATTCCTTGTTAATGCAACTCAAGAACAGTCACCATCTGTTGGTGGAGACTTGCGTGTTGCTATCATGCTGAACAGGTTTCAGCAGAGCTCCCAGTCTAAAATGGACTAGGAAGAAAAACCTGGCAATCTACTTCCAAAAATCAGCCAATAAAACCCCTATGGATCGTAACAATTCAACCTGCAACTGGCCACAGGGATGGCACAGGGATGGCACAGGGATGGCATGGGTTGCCGTGAGCCGGGGGCCGACTGGACAGCAGATAACCCCAACAGTCCTTGAGTTAAATTTCCGTGTAGTTTTGGCTGTGTCCCGTGTACCCTGCACCAGTTATCTTGCAACATAGCATCCTGGTCCCGGGGCAGATGGATGAGTGTATGTAGATGAACTGGTACAAACAATAATAGTTCCAAAACTAGGGGCAAAACACCCAAATCACCTGACCTGTCTATTTGGAGGCAGTCACATCATTTTCTGATGTGAAAACATGCCATGTGACTTGAAGAAACAATTCAAGCACAAATACTACTAGATCCCTTATGTCAGAACATTTGTGTTGATGAGGAATTGCTGGGAAAACTAGATGAGATCTGAGAATTTTTCTATGTTTGTTTATATCTCCAGTTTTAAAAGTGCAAAAGTTATAAGCTATATAAAGTCTTCAATCTTTCAAATGAACTTTGCTGATGTCTTAGATTTTAGTAGAAAAGGAGATAATCAACATATAGATTTTGGAGAATTTTACCCTGTGGTACAAGTTCTCATTGTCAAGAATTTTTACCCTTAAGCAATGAAGTGAATTTTTCTCAGGGAAATATTTCAGATTGGGAAACACTGTGTTAGCCTGTGATCATGTTTCATTATTTTTGATGTACTACAGGGCCGCTATGAGTCAGAATTGACTCAATAACAGTAGCTTTGGTTTTTGGTTTTTCATTAATGCATGGTGTGCTCCAAACCATAAAATATGAAAGACAAAAAAAAAAAAAAGAAAAAAGCGTTTGTGTTGAAAATTCTTTTCTCTTGGGGAAAAGCTTAACCTGATGTTATTCATCCAAGCAGCAATTAGATAGGAGGCTTTGTTAGGTATCATCCCTTCAGTACATTTCATTGCTCAGTTGAAACAAACTTTAAATAATTACACAGAGTTTATAGTAGTTTTCTTTCCCTCAAGCTGCTCTGTGTTTGGGATGGTTTTATAATCATTGAGTAAAACCACTGTGTTGTGGCCTGTTTTAAACATTATAACTTGAGCTGCTGCTTCTGAAATAGACACACATTTTTTCCTTTCACAGGTATGAGAAAAATCTTGTGTTTGCCCAGAAATGGGGAATTAGAAAAGGGATCGTGATGGGATTATTTACTGGATACTGCTGGTGTCTCATCTTCCTATGTTATGCACTGGCCTTTTGGTATGGCTCCCAACTCGTCCTGGATGAAGGAGAATACACAGCAGGAACCCTGGTCCAGGTACTTTGATCTTGAAGACCTACACATAACATTTTTTGCTGGTATCTCAGAAAAGTCCACTGATAAGACATTTTCTTTATTCCTTTGGTGTCTGAGGGAGGAAAGCATCAATGATGTAATAGTGTCTGTCTGCAGAAGCAAGCAATAATTATGCATTTTATAGCAATGGGATGCTGGGTACTTGAACTGATGAGACCAGCAATTTAATGGTTACCAATTTAAGATTTTATAGCTGTAAAACAATGAATTTCTGACTGAAGTCCAAAAGATAATATGCCATGAAAATGGAAACTTAGTGATCTTTCAGCTGAAAATTAACAGCTCATATAGTTGAGCTTAATAATAGGACAAGGTATGTGTTAATGAACATATTTGTGAAACATAGTGAGTTACTAAAATAACAAGTCAATAATAACCTCAACTGAACAGGTAGTACAAATATATTTTATTGCTCAGTTATTCTATAGCACCTCCACGTGCATAGTCCCATGGCTATGTTAATTTTTAGTGTCCTTTCTGATATTCATTCAATAAATAATTACTGAGCATCTACTATGCACCAGACACATGGAAAACGCAGGAGAGTCAATTGTGAGCGAAACAAATGTGGTCTTTGCCCTGATGGAATTTATAGTTTGGTGAGGAAGACAACAAATAATTAAATAAACATGGAAATGCATAATGACAAATGGTGGCATGTGTTATAGAGTATAGGGAAACTTCACAGTGAATAGCAGAGTAAATGGATGTGGCTCGGGTGAGGGAAGGCTTTTAATCTTTCTCCTCATCCAAAGGCCTTTCCTCCTTAGATTGTGACCCCCTTCTCGTTACACATCTGGATTCTTGTCATTGTTCAGATGCTCAGCTGAATGGCACTTCCCAGTCCAGGCCTTGCATGCTCTTCTCCTCTTTCATTCCCTTTTGTGACATGCTGTTTCAGAAAGAAAAATGAATTTATAAATTGAAAATAATACACAATTCTGCTAAAAACATTTAATTAAAAAAAAAAATCCTTGGTAACTCTTTTCTAGGAGTCCCTGGGTAGCGTTAAGTGGTTAAGTGCTTGATTACTAGCCAAAAGTTGGGGGTTCAAACCTCAACCTCAGAAGACAGGCCTAGTGATCTGCTTCCAAAAGGTCACAGCCTTGAAAACCCTATGGAGCAGTTCTACTCTGCACACATGAGGTTGCCATGAGTTGGAATCGACTCAATGGCAACTAACAACAACTCTTTTCTAGTAAGAATCCGGTTGAACCGTTCTTATTTTCAAGGTTCCTGTCAGTTGGCTTGTGGACTACTCTGTACCATCTGTAAATAATTCATCCCTTCAACTGATATTTCTTGAGTGCTTACTATGTGCAGACATGGCACATTATGTGTTTCTAACACTTTAAGAACCAATTATTAACCTCTTACTCCTAACCTCTTCCTATAAGCAACTGCTTATGTCTTAAGAAATTTTTCTTTGGGAAAACGAGAGACATCCTTTAACAGTATAATCATTGTTCCGTTTCTCTCTCTCTTTCTCTCTCATAATGGTGAGTTCTTGGCTCTACTTCTGAGCAGCAGACTATGAAGGCTGAGTATGCATGAGCTGAGTTTAGTGTTTAATCCACTAAACTAATTAACAATTAGGTTAATCCAGCATCTTTTGTGATGCACCAAGTCATTACTGCCTGCATGGTAATTGGGCATAAATGGTAAGTAGTTCACATAAATGACTGTAATTAGTACACTTGTACACAGACAGAAAACGTATTTCTGTGACCTATTAGGAAAAAAGTCAAAGGGGACCTGAATGTTACAGAATGCTGCTTTTTCATGCCCCTCTTCAGGTTGAGAATTCAATAATATAATAACTGTAATATAAAGTAACATTCAGCCTGTACAATGTCCACAAAGTGAGTTGTTTAACATAATTACTATATGTAATACTCACAACTTGCTGTTGGTGTCAAAATTCTGCCACTTTAAAAATGAAATAGAGGTCCCATGGGGTTAAGAAATATGCATCAAGTGGCATAGAGTGGGGATTTGAACTCAGGTCTTTGTGACTAGGGAGCCTGACTGATTAACCACTGTTTTCTTGCCTCTGGATTTGTCTCCCATGGAGGTACAGATCTTCATTTCTCTGGCAGAGCACACTCACAGATTGTTTCTGAGCAGCTTCTCATTCCCTTCTCACACTACTGTCCCATGCTATTGTCCATTTGATGTGAAAAACAATGGTCTTCTGGGATGGATGCTAGCTACTATGATAGCATTAGGTATATGACTCTCCTGTCTCACTCACTTCTCTCCTCAGAACGCCCAAAGAGACATACACTTGAAGTAATGGCTCACAAAACCGGGAGGAGCAAGATTTGACCCCAAAACTCAATTTAGGTCTCTAGTTGGTTAATCTACACTCTAGACTAGCGGTTGGCAAACTACGGCCTTCAGGCCAAATCTAGCCTGCCATCTGTTTTTGTAAATAAAGTTTTATTGGAACCAAGACTTCAAACTGGTTGAAGCCGGCTCAGTCATGGCTGACAAAGTGAAACTGGAACAGACCTGAATTTTCAAAAATTGGGTGAACTGGAGCAATAACCTGAATGGGAAAAATTATGGGTCAGAGCCTTGGAATGGGAGACTCACAGGAGGCATGGTGAGCCTTTTCAGGAGCTTGATGTGGGAGATTGGATTATTGGCAGAACTGTGGAGAGCAACACACATTCAAAGCAGTGCTAATGGCCACCATCTTTGAGCAGGGCACTGTTGTTTCCTACTTTGCTCACAATCCAGTGGGCAAGAGATTTGGTTGCTATGCAATGTGTACACTGCCCTTGTTTTCTAAGAGGAAGATTAATTTCTAGCAGGGCTTCGACCCATAATTTTTCCCATTCCAGTTATCCTTCCATTTCACCCAAATTTTAAGAATTCGTGCCTATTCGGTTTTGCTTCTTTGGTCACGACTGACTGGGCAGAACTAGTTTGAAGTCCTGATTGGAACAGAGCAATGTTCATTTATTTACAAATTGTCTGTGGATGCCTTTGTGCTACAGTGGCAGAGCTGAATAGTTGCTTTGGAGATCACATGACGTACAAAGTCTAAAATATTTACTCTCTGGCCCTTCACAGAAAACACTTTTCTGCCTCCTGCTGTCGACCATGTGGAAAACTTCCTTTGCTCAGGTAGTAAGGCCCCTCATGAGGGTGGTCTCAAACCAAATTAGACCATAAGAAGTGTTTTGTGAACTCTGCTCACCACTTCTTAAGTATGGGACCTTGCTACTTTTATCACCATCATCATCATAGCTATTATTTATGTAACTAGTACTGGATTAATCATGTTTACATACATTTTCTTATTATATTTCATAACAACCCTATGAGGTATATACTATCATTATCGCTGTATTACAGATAGAGAAACTGGGGTTTACAAAAATTAAGTATACCTACTCCTCACTTCCACCACTCTTCTGTCAGTTTGTCATATTGTGGTGGCTTGTGTGTTGCTGTGATGCTGGAAGCTATGCCACCGGTATTCAAAGACCAGCAGGGTCACCCATGGTGGACAGGTTTCAGTGGACTTTCAGACTAAGGCAGACTAGGAAGAAGGACCTGGCAGTCTACTTCTGAAAAAATTAGCCAGAGAAAACCTTATAAATAGCAGCAGAACATTGTCTGATAGAGTGCCGGAAGACGAGCCTCTCAGGTTGGAAGGCACTCAAAATATGACTGGGAAAGAGCTGCCTCCTCAAAGTAGAGTCAACCATAATGATGTGGATGGAGTCAAGCTTTTGGGACCTTCATCTGCTGATGTGGCATGACTCAAAATGAGAAAAAACAGCTGTAAGCATCCGTTAATAATCAGAACATGGAATGTAGGAAGTATGAATCTAGGAGAATTGGAAATCGCCAAAAAATGAAATGGAACGCATAAAGATTGATACCCTAGGCATTAGTGAGCTGAAATGGACTTGTAGTTGCCATTTTGAATTGGACAATCATATGGTCTACTATGCCAGGAATGACAATTAAAGAGGAATGGCGTCATATTCATCATCAAAAAGAACATTTCAAGATCTATCCTGAAGTACAACACTGTCAGTGATAGGATAATATCCACACACCTACAAGGAAGACCAGTTAATACGACTATTATTCAAATTTATGCACCAATCACAAAGGCCAAAGATGAAGAAATTGAAGATTTTTACCATCTTCTACAGGCTGAAATTGATCAAACATGCAATCAAGATGCATTGACAATTACTGGTGATTGGAATGCAAAAGTTGGAAACGAAGTAGGATCAATAATTGGAAAATATGACCTTGGTGATACAAATGACACTGAAGATCGGATGATAGAATTTTGCAAGATCAATGACTTCTTCACTGCAAATACCTTTTATCAATAACGTAAATGGTCACTGTACACATAGACCTCATAAGATGGAATATACAGGAATAAAATTGACTACTTCTGGGTTAAGAGACAATAGAGAAGCTCAATAACATTAGTCAGATCAAAGACCAGGGGCTGACTGCAGAACAGACCATCAATTGTTCATATGCAAGTTCAAGTTGAAGCTGCAGCAAATTAGAACAAGTCCACAAGAGCCAAAATACAACCTTGAGGATATCTCACCTGAATTTACAGACCATCTAAAGACTAGATTTGACACATTGAACACTAATGACCGAAGACCAGACAAGTTGTGGAATGACATCAAGGACATCATACATGGAGAAGCAAAATGTCATTACAAAGACAGGAAAGAAAGAAAAGACCAGAATGGATGTCAGAAGAGACTCTGAAACTTGCTCTTGAATGTAGAGTAGCTAAAGTGAAGGGAAGAATGATGAAGTAAAAGAGCTGAACAGAAAATTTCAAAGGGTGGCTTGAGAGGACAAAGTATTATAATAAAATGTGCAAAGAACTGGAGTTAGAAAACCGAAAGGGAAGAACATGCTTGGCAATTCTCAAGCTGAAAGAACTGAAGAAAAAATTCATGCCTCAAGTTGCAATACTGAACAATGCAGGAAGCATCAAAAGAAGATGAAAGGAATACGGAGTCACTGTACCAAAAAGAATTGGTCGACCTTCAACCATTTCAGGAGGTAGCATATGATCAAGAACTGATGGTATTGAAGAAAGAAGTCCAAGCTGCACTGAAGGCATTGGTGAAAAATAAGGCTCCAGGAACTGACAGAATACCAATTAAGATGTTTCAATAAATGGATGCAGCACTGGAGGTGCTCACTTGTCTTTGTCAAGAAATTTGGGAGACAGCTACCTGCCTAACCAACTGGAAGGAATCCATATTTGTGCGCATTCTGAAGAAAGGTGATCCGTCAGAATGCAGAAATTATTGAACAATATCATTAATATCACACGCAAGTAAAATTACCTGAGGATCATTCAAAAGCAGCTGCAGCAGTACATTGACAGGGAACTGCCAGAAATTCAAGCCAGATTAAGAAGAGGACGTGGAACCAGGGATATCATGGCTGATGTCAGATGGATCTTGGCTGAAAGTGGAGAATACCAGAAAGATGTTTGCTAGTGTTTTATTGACTATGCAAAGGCATTTGACTGTGTGGGTCATAACAAATTATGGATAAATTAGGAAGAATGAGAATTCCAGAACACTTAATTGTACTCATGAGGAACCTGTATATAGACCAAGAGGCAGTTGTTTGAACAGAACAAGGGGATACTGCGTGGCTTAAAGTCAGGAAAGGTGTGCATCAGGGTTGTATCTTTTTACCATACTTTATCAATCTGTATGATGAGGAACTAATTCAAGAAACTGGACTATATGAAGAAGAATGTGGCATCAGGATTGGAGGAAGACTCACTAACAACCTTTGACATACAGATGACACAACCTTGCTTGCCGAAAGTGAAGAGGACTTGAAGCGCTTGCCGATAAAGATCAAAGGCTACAGCCTTCAGTGTGGATTACACCTCAACATAAAGCAAATAAAAATCCTCACAACTGGACCAGTCAGCAACATGTGATAAACAGAGAAAATATTGAAGCTGTCAAGGATTTGGTTTTTCTTGGATCCATAATCAATGCCCGTGGAAGCAGCAGTCAAGAAATCAAATGACGTATTGCTTTGGGCAAATCTGCTGCAAAAGACCTATTTCAAGTGTTAAAAAACAAAGATGTCACTTTGAGGACTAAGGTACACATGACAGAAGCCATGATATTTTCAATCACCTCATATGCATGTGAAAGGCTGACAATGAATAAGAAGACGGAAGAATAACTGATCACTTTCAAATATGATGTTGGCAAAGAATATTGAATATACCATGGACTGCCAGAAGAACAAACAAATCTGTCTTGGAAGAAGTACAGCCAGAATGTTCCTTAGAAGTGAGGATGGTGAAACTTCATCTCACGTACTTTGGACATATCATCAGGAGGGAGCAGTCCCTGGAGAAGGACATCATGATTAGCAAAGTAGAGCATCAGCGAAAAAGAAGAAGACCCTCAATGAGATGAATTGACATAGTGGCAGCAACAATAGGCTCAAGCATAACAGTGATTGTGAGGGTGACACAGGACCAGGCAATATTTCGTTCTGTTGTACATAGGGTCATTACGAGTTGGAACTGACTCAAGGACACCTAACAACAACAACAACAGCTCCTCACTTATCAGCTATCTCATTATCCAACATTTCACATTTATGAAAGTTGTAAAAAATCTACTATCCTACTATTTTGCATATTAACATAATGTATGTCTGGCAGTAACAAACACTGAGGTGTAAGGTGAGAATAACGCTGGCTGTGATGGTTAAGGTTATGTGTCAACTTGGCTGGGCCATGATTCTTGGTGGTTTGGCGGTTATGTAATGATGTAGTTATCCTCCATTTTTTCCCAAGAGTATTTTTATTTATTTATTTTGTTGTTGTTATTGTTTTAAATCTTTCAGATTTTTAGGTGAAAGTTTACAGAGCAAATTAGTTTTCCATTCAGTAGTTTGTACATAAAGTGTTTCATGACATTGGTTTCATTCCCCACAATGTGTCAGCACTCTCCCCATGTCCATCCTGGGTTCCCTGTTTCCTTTCGTCCTGATTTTCTATCCCTTTCTGCCTTCTCATCTTTCCTTTGGGGCAAATGTTGCCCTTTTGATCTTGTATCATTGATTGTTCTAAGGAGCACTTTCCTCTTGGGTGTTATTGTTTATTTTATGGGCCTGTCTGTGGTTTGGCTGAAAGGTGGTCTCCGTGAATGGCTTCAGTTCCAGGTCAGAAGGGTGTCTTAAGCCCATAGTCTCCGCCGTTCCTCCAGTCTCTCTCAGACCGGTAAGTCTGGTCTTTTTTTGTGAATTTGATCTTTTGTTCTACAGTTTTTCTCCCTCTCTGTCCGGGACCCTACGTTGTGTTCTCAACCAGAGCCATTGGTAATGGTAGCTGGGTACCATCTAGTTCTTCTGGTCTTGGGATCGTGTAGACTGTGGTTCATCAGTCCTTTGGACCATTGCTGCCTAGAATCTTTGGTTTTCTTCACTCTCCTTTGCTCCGGACAGGAAGAGATCAAAAGTTGTATCTTAGATGGCCACTCAAAAACTTTTAAGACCCCCAACGCTATTCACCAAAGTAGGATGTGGAACTTTGTCTTTATGAACTCTGCTGTGTCCAAGACTATATTTAAGTTAGATCTTTAAACTAGGTCCCAAGAATTTTCTTTCTCATATCTGTGCACAGTATTCTTTTTTTTTTTTTTTTTTTTTTGGGGTTAGGTATCTTTTGTTTTTTAGATTTTTTTTTGTTGTACTTTAGGTGAAGGTTTACAGAACAAACAGTTTCTCATTACACAGTCAGTATGCATTTTTTTTATGACATTGGTTAACAAACCTACAACATGTCAATACTCTCCCTTCTTGACCTTGGTTATCCTCCATTTTGTGATCTGATGTGGTGATCCTCCATTTTCACATAATGCTGATTTTTGCATAACGACTGGGTCTTTGGAACCTAACAATGTCAGTATGTGAGGAGTGGGTGTAATTTGCCCTTGTGAGAAACTAACTGCTGTAATTGAGGAAAAGGAAAAAGGAGAGCATATGAGGAGAGAATGTTTGTTGTTTGTCCCCATGCATAAGGTAGAGAATTCAGGGAGAAGGTGTGAGGGGGTTGACCCAGTGCCTGTCCGGAGTAGCACTGTTTTGCTAATCACCCTGACATGGGGGTTACTGGGAAGGAGGGAGATAGCTGGGTAGCTCTGAGAAGCCTTATGCTCCAGCCACTCCAACCACAAGGAAGAAAGAGAATGGGGAGGAGACTGTGTCATAATTTGCTCAATGCAGATATAACCAGAAAGGATCTGGCCTAGGGAAATCACTATAAACTGGGATCATCTGATAATCTGAAAAAGATTACATCCATGCGGGAGCCAAACTTTAGCTCAGTATATAACTCCAGTCCCCAAAACACTGTAGCCAATGAAACTCTTCCACGTGAGTCCCATGACCAGGACTCATCCTTTGGTTGACAAGGTGGGGAGAAGGAGGAAACTTGTGCTCCTCCTCGAGGCAGCTTGAGGAATTGCCACATTGCCTCTTCCTCATCTTTATAACTAGAGCTAATAAAAACAGTGTGCTATTTGTTAGAAATATCTAGCCATGATCTGGTAGGCTTTTCCTAACTTAATGAGAAGGCTCTATTGGTGATTCAAAGGACAGTTCTCCCATCTCTGCACAGGAACCTGACCACTCCACCTGCATGCACCTAGCACCTAGGAGCTAGATAGAATGGCAGTCAAGAGTCTGGGTTCAAATACTACTCTACCATTTATTACGTGTTGTGATGTAGGGCAACTTGAGTAACCTCCATATACATCTGTTTCCTTCTCTGTTTTAAGGATATAATGAAGCTATACAGGTAAAACACTTAGAAACGTAACTTATTATTACTGTTATTAGTAGTATAGTAATAGTAGGAGTAGTAGTAGCAGTACCCACCCTATTACATGTGCCAATATCTAGCACAGTCAAGCTGACTTAGTGTCTTTATTATTTTCTTGACCCATTAACTAGAAAACCATTATCAGGCTGTTTATATAATGAACTAAATTAACATATCAGTATTCTAACCGGCTTTGTGTCTCTATGCTGCCTTGCATAGACTTTGTACTAATTATGAAACATGTTCTTTGTTGTAGAACAGTGACATTCAGTCAAAAATAATGTAGTCTTTTAAATTATAACAATGGAAAATGGTTTACAGAACAAAAACTGTTCCAGGAGATTCCAAAGAGCCAAAGAGCTGTTTAGCTTTCCAGTGCCCATGAAGGAATATTTCTGAGAAACCTCCAAGCTCACACAGATTGCCCAAATGATAGTGAGCACTATTTACAAATAAAAAATAAAACACACACACACACACACACACACAAGAAAACTGTCTATCTCTTTTCATTTCAGATTTTCCTCAGTGTCTTAGTATCAGCTTTAAATCTTGGCAATTCATCTACTTGTCTGGAAGCCTTTGCAACTGCACGAGCAGCTGCCACCAGTATTTTTGAGACTATAGACCGGGTATGTAAAAGTCAAAAGTAAAGTCCTTTAGCAGGTTGAGGGGAGGGGGAATGAATCCCTGAGGAATTTACCCTCAGTGTTAAAAAATATGAGCAGCTAGCACAATGCCCTTTATTCAGCAATACTTATTAACCGTTATCATGAGCTCCACCCAATTCTAAGAGCTAGGAAAGCAACAATGAATCAGAACAAATAAGGCCCCTGCTTTCATACTCAGGAAGACACTGAGTTGTACAAATGGTTAATGCTCCTAACTGCTAACCCAAAGGTTGGAGGTTCAAGCCTACGCAGAGGTGCTTTGGAAGAAAGGCCTGAGAACTATTTCCAAAAAATTAGCCACTGAAAACCATTAAAACAAAAACCTTAAACCAAAAGTATCCCCTGAAATCTTAAAACCAAACAATAGTTTAGCTTAACTAGTAAAAAATGTCTGCCTTGAGCATTAGGCTCTTTTAAGTACTATTTATATGGAATTGAATTGACAACAGCAACTTGAAAGATTAGACAGGTACCTTAGGGAGCAGTGAGTTTATGTTACTGGGGGAGGAACAATTCAGAAAAGGAGGGTGAGAATGGTTGCACCACTCGAAGAATGTAATCAGTGTTACTGAACTGTACATGTAGAAACTGTTGAATTGGTGTATATTTTGCTGTGTATATTCTCCACAACAACAACAAAATAAATAAAATTAAAAAACAAAACAAAGAGACGACCCTACAGAGCACAGTTCTAGTCTGATGCACAAGGGGTCTCCATGAGTCAAAGCCCACCTGAAGGCAACTGGTCAGTGGTGCATGGGAAGTGAGTGCAGGGAGGTTATTGGTGACAGAGAGACCTCTTGGTTAATTCAAGGAGCTGAAAGAAGGCTGCTGTGACTCAACAGAGTGAGCAAGGAACAGAGGTTGGAGGGATGAGAAAGGGCCAAATCATGCAGGACTTCAAGGTCAAGTTCATAAGATTGGATTATCTCCCTAAGTGTGACAGGAAGTCTCTACGAGCTAATAAGGGCCCTGGTAGCCTGGTTAGGATTTTCTATTGGAGCACATTTGAGGTTGAGCTAGGGAGACAAAATTGAAGAACAGAAGCGGGGAAGATGACAATATGCTGTTCTTCCTCCCTGAAAAAAATGCCCTGGCCTAAGAATCAGAAACTCCTGGAAATCCAGAAAGGTACTTTGTAGGGCCCCTGCACCATAAATATTTTCTGCCAAACAATGAGACTGTAACCTGCCTGAGGAAACTTCATAGCTTTATCTGTTTTGCATGTTGGTGTTTCGAGAATGATTTTATCTTTTTTTTAAAAAAAGAGATATTGTTGAAAACCACATAAAAATATGGAGCTATCCAAATTCTACCTCATTCTTAGGATTGTTATGTGCTCAAATAAGATGATGACTAAAAGTGCCTGAAACTATGAAATATTACAAAAAAATAAAGCATGTAAAATTACTTTAATATCTTTACAAGAAACCAAAAAAAGGAAGTAGATTACATTGTACCCCCAAATAGAGCTCTGATGATGAATTTCTCTCACTAGTGTGGGAAAGGAAAGACGTTGACCCTGGAGTATTGTAGAAGCTGGAGGTGAACCTCACCCTTGTCTGATTAACTGGAATGGTTAAGTCCTAGATAGGTTCACTAATAACAACAGAAGGGGTGAAACTAAGCATATAAATTCGAAGTTGGTAGTATTTGAAACTAAATTTTCATCATCTACAACGGATACTGAATTGGGGAGTACTATTGGACCCCAGCCTGGTTGCTGAGCTGCATGGCCCTAGGCCAGATACTCAACCTCTCTGAGACTTCATTTTCTTAACTGAAAAATGGGCATATCACCTGTCTAGTTAGGTATGTTGACAATTACACAAATTGAAAAAGCACGTTAAAACACCTTGTACATTATCTTTCATAGATAGTAAAAGCTCAATAAATGGTGGTTAAGCGCTCAGCTGCTAACCAAAAAGTTAACAGCTCAAGCCCACACAGTGGCTCTGTGGGCGAAAAACCTGGAGATCTGCTTCCATAAAGATTACAGCCAAAAAAAACCTATGGAGCAGTTCTACTCTGTCACATGGGGTCTCTCTGGTCAGAATCAACTTGAAGGCATGCCACAACAACAATAACTGCGTTATTATTACTATTATTAGGAAATATTTAATTTGGTAGCAACCTTTCTTTAGCATATCTACAATGCTTTACCCGGTTGTTTTTCTGGGTTTTGAGTAAATTCAAACTGAGATTTAAAGTTAATGTGTATAATACATCTTGTTGCTATTTACCCTTTTATTTTCCACTCTAGCAACCAGTCATTGACTGCATGTCAGAAGATGGTTACAAGTTAGATCGAATCAAGGGTGAAATTGAATTCCATAATGTGACATTCCACTATCCCTCCAGACCAGACGTGAAGGTGAGTCCCAGTCTTTCCCCCAGAAACAATGGGCATTTTCATTTTTGATGATTCATTTCCAGAGCCACAAATTACTTATAGTTTTGAAGCCTGACTCAGTTTCCAGGAACAAGGAACTGAGACATGTTTCTCTGGAAGTGTCCTTGGGTGTTGTGACATTTTCAAGTGACACACTGCATTCCTTTGTAATAGTCATAGATGCAAATCCCTTTGATTGGAACACAGTCTGATAACCTTTCAGGTTAAGTCAACTGTAAGATGTTCTGTTGAAATGAGTGGCAGGTCCTGTCATTCTAAGCACATGCTAAACTTCAAGGTAGTCAGAACATTCAAGAAGTACAGCTTCATACCATTTCCTTAGAGACTGCAGAAGGCGGAGCAGGCTGAGTGATTAGGGTATGAAGTGGCAAAGAAAAGCTGCTGCCTTTGTGGTTTTTTATTTCCCATCTGTAAGTTCACAAAGGTCACTGAATCAATCCTTGTGGGAAGATAACCTAATGATATTGTGCTCACATGTCTTATGTGAGGCGATCCTCCAGGGCATGTGGTGAAAAACAATTCTAGTTTTCCTGGACCTAATGAGCAAGTATCTTTAAAGGCAATTTACTCTGTAGGAAAATTAGGATCTACTCCCCCTGAATCAATTGGCTTTGAAATGAGATGTATTCTTCATTTTTAACTGAGTGTCTTTAGCCACCCTTTCTTAATAATATGTCTGTTATCCCCACAGAACTAAATCCCATGCTGTTAGCGTACCTTAATTCTGATACTACATAGTATATCTTCCAATCATATATTTGAAATATATTTTTGATAAATGTTACATATCACATATGTATATAAACACCAAATGTAATAATGTATATAACAGTGCTTTGATAAATATAAATCATGAGGTAGTACTCACTCACTCAATAACCCGTAAACCAAACCAAACCCACTGCCGTCTAGTCGATTCCGACTCATAGTGACCCTATAGGACAGAGGAGAACTGCCCCATAGGGTTTCCAAGGAATGACTGGTGGATTTGAACTGCTGACCTTTTGGTTAGCAGCCGAGTTCTTAACCACTGTGCCACCAGGCCCCCCTGACTCAGTAAAGGGTGGTTAAAATTCCTTATAGTAGATATTCAGAACCGGCTCGTAATTGTTGCTCAACAATACTGGTTAAACTGAAACACACTAATTTGATTTCTGTTTTATCTTCTAGACCCAACAGCAATAGTTTGTTTAAATTAAGTCTTCTTACTTAGGCCCCTAAATAGTCTTCATTCATACCACAAATATGTGTTTAGCCCTGTTATGCCCTAATTTGTACTGGGGCTATTATAAAGATAAAAGGCACTCTCAATGCCTGTCTGCCTGCCTGGTGGAGCTTACTGTCCAATACAGCCCAGTATGTGGAAATGTATTTGCAAGCCTGACTCTGTAGCGTGAAATGAAAGACATGTGATATTGTGTTACACATAGGACTCCAAACCCCCTTTACGTAAGTGCTAAAATCAAACTAAAACCTTGTACTTAATTGGTAAAAATGTCCGACAGGTGGTTATGAATTAGTTTCTTGTTCTTCCCTCTGTGGACTTTTACCAGCATTCACTCCCTACCTTTAACAGTGCTTTGTACCTAGCAAAACACCACAAACATTTTATCAGATAAATTCATTAAAATAACATGTTCACATACAAGAGTATGACAGCTGAAAGTTTGCAAATTGGCTTATTGTTAATCCATGATCAATAAATTAGTATTTTATTTCTAACTTAATGTATTTTTCTTTAACTAATTGGAACAGTCTCCTTGAGGTATCTTAGTATGTCAGAAGTGTATTAAATTAGATTTTAGAGCATAATTTTAAAAGTTATCATGGTTTATTTACCTCTGTGTTATTATACATCGTTTTAGTTTGTTGGCTGCAGCCATTAGTTAAATAATTAATGAATGTCTGGGCCTACTGGAAGCTGGAAGAAACAAGGAAGTATCTTTCCCTAGAGACTTCAGAGAGCATGGCCTTGCTGACAACCTGAATTTGGACACTGCATTTGTATTGTTTTAAGTAAACAATAAATTTCTGTTGTTGTAAGTAAAAAAAATAAAAGTAAAAGTTAAGGAATGTGTTAAATGCTGAAACTTCATTCTAGGCACGGTTTATTAATTTGCTGATTACTGATGGATATCGATGAATATTCCTTTGAGGTCATAAGTCACACATACACACACACACACACACAAGTCACATGCACACACACGCTTCCTCACAAAGCACCCTAACTCATAGCCTAATCACTTGATTAGTTACACTCTGATACCCTGAACTTTGTTGTTTTCTTTTCTCTCCAGATTTTGAATAACCTCAGCATGGTCATTAAATCAGGGGAAATGACGGTTCTGGTAGGATCCAGTGGAGCTGGGAAAAGTACAGCGCTGCAACTCATTCAGCGATTCTACGACCCCAGTGAAGGCATGGTATGTGTCTTCCAGAAACCTCTCAGTCCGCTGGGACGAGGGCAGTGCAAACGGGATGTATCGGGCAAACACAAAGCATACACTGAGGCTGTTCTGACACAAGCATAGTTGATTTAATGATTTCTGACTGAATTACTGGACAAATCCCCCACATGGGGGCAGTGTTAGATGAATAACCAGTCGATTCACTTAGTGATGTGAAGATACACTCAAAGAGGTATTGTGACCTCTTCAGTGAACAAAATTTTCCATTTCTTTTATTGTATTGTAACAAAACCATGATTGTTTCCCTAAGTTCCTCAAATGCAAAGTGTAGAAAAGCTAATACAACTAGAAATTAGCAGAGAACTGCTCTTGGTTACCGCTTTGAGAAGTTGGGTTTTAAAAAACTAATTTATTTAATTTCACAAAACATTTCATCTCTTTTCTTTATATTTATTTGACTGTAAAAGGAGCCCTGGTGGCGCAGTGGTTAAGCACTCTGCTACTAACTGAAAGGTCGGCAGTTTGAAACCACCAGCCCACTGCTGGAGAAAGATGTGGCATTCGGCTTCTGCAAAGATTTACAGCCTTGGAAGCCCTATGGAGCAGTTCTACTCAGTCCAATAGGGTAGTCAAGAGTTGAAATTGACTCGACAGCAATGGGTTTGGTTTTTTTGAGTTTATCTGACTGTAAACATAGACTGAAATTATGAAAATTAGTAATATTAATAACCGCCATTTATTTATAACATTATACATCAGGTATCTTATAAAAATGATCACTTATTCTCACAATGACCCTCAAAGGTAAATATATCTATTTTATAAATGAGGAAGCAGAGACTCAGAGAGATTGAGCTTGCCCCAGGTCACTCAGCTAATAGGTGACAAAGCCAGGATTTGAACCCAGGTCTGTTGGGTGCCAAAGCTTATACGCTTCAGTCTGCCTCAAAATCATTCTTGTCAGTATCTCCTTGATGCCTTGAAATAGTCATTTGACTGTATGTTAAGCAGCATAAATGCAATGGGTTCTCTATAATGTATGGCAAGCATAATGGAATTTTCCTTTTTCTCGGTCATTTCATTCTCTGATGGAGTATTCTTTACTGCATGCCATCACAACTACACTCTGAGTATACAGAAATCATAATTTTTTGATGTCAGATGTTTTTGCTAACAGTTATTTTTATTTGCTCATCCCTCTTAAAGCTTCAATTGCTTTTGTACATCAAAATGTTATTTGATGATTCTGGCCAGAAAGTAAGATTTACTGTAAAGCATGTATACATAAGATAAAGGTCATTGCTTATATTCATTGTAGTTTCAGAAGTCCACTTTTGGTCACCAGTTAGAAGATAGCAAAAATATTCAAAGTATGCTGAATAACTGACTCTACTCTTTACGAAGAGTTAAAAACTTACCATTCCTGGGCCAACTGTGTTGAATTAAGTGCCCTTTATATCATTTGTGTTTCTGCAATAAACTGTCCTGCAGCTATACTTAATTTCAATTATATATTGTCATCTTTAAATAAACAACCACTGTACAAGAGAAATTCTTTCAGTTACAACTTTGTCAGTCTCCATTTTTTTTCTCCTCATTGACCAAGTACAATATAATCTTATGATTCAGAACCTTGAAGGATTCCAAGAGATGTGATGTTGTGCTCACGTGTTCTAGGTGACCCTGGATGGCCATGACATTCGCTCTCTTAACATTCAGTGGCTTAGAGCTCAGATGGGGATAGTGGAGCAAGAGCCAGTTCTGTTCTCCACTACTATTGCAGAGAATATTCGCTATGGCAGAGAAGATGCGACGATGGAAGATATAGTCCAAGCTGCCAAGGAAGCCAATGCCTACAACTTCATCATGGCCCTGCCTCAGGTACCCCAGCCTTGTATTTCTAGGGGAGAAATCCAAAGGTCATAGAAGGAAAACAGGTTACACAATAATATGCAGTTCTTTTAACTTGAATCCTGAATAATTACATGCGTAATGTCAAGTTTTAATTTCATGCCTGGAATTATACTATGAGTTTTCCCCTTCGTCTGAAAAAAAAAAAAAAAAGTTGATGTTAATATATTAAAAATCTACCAAATTGGGAAACCTTCTTTTAAAATGCCCCCTTTGACATAGATACAATTTCCCAATCCCCATCCATTAAACACCCACCAGCTGCTCCGTGGGAGAAAGATGTCTGCTTCCATAAAGATTACAGCCTTGGAAACCCTATGGGGCACTTCTACTCTGACCTATAGGGTCGCTATGAGTAGGAATTGACTCGATGGCAGTGGGTTTGGTTTTTTGGTTGTATCCATTAAACACCTATCTACTAGTAGCCATTGAGTCGATGCCAACTCATGGCAACCTCATGTGTGCAGAGTAGAACTGTGCTCCATCGGGTTTTCATGGTTGTGACCTTTCAGAAGCGGATTGCCAGGACTTTCTTCCAAGATGCCTCTGGGTGGGTTTGAACCACCAACCTTTTGGTAAACAGCCAAGTGCTCAACTGTTTGCACCATGTAGCTACCAGATGCTAAATTTGCCATGTGGCAATCACTTGCACAGTGCTCTTTTGATGTCTACCACTGTCGCTGTTCTTTACTTTTCTTGCGGTTTGGCAGCGAATGTGGTGACTTCAGCATGGTATTTTACATATTCGAAAACAATTCCTCATTTATCTTCATTCTAAACAATAACATCAAAAACAAAACAAAAACCCCTCAGAACTATTATGCATATATGGATTGCTCAGACAGTAGTCTGCTGAGTCAAAGAAGAGTTATTATTACTGGCTGTGACTCAGAATTAACTCGATGGCAACTAATAATAACAAAAACATGTAATGGTATTTACTATGTACAAGGCACTGTTCTAAGTGCTTTACGTCTATCAACTCATTTAACACTACCACTACTCTGTCAGGAAGTTACTATTATTATCCCCATCTACAGATGGAGTCCGGAGAGGTCAAATAGCATGCTCAAGATTTAAAAAAACAGTTGCTATCAAGTCAATTCCGACTCATGATGTCCCCATGTGTGTCAGAGTAGAACTATGCTCCATAGGGTTTTCAAAGGCTGATTTTTCATAAATAGATTGCCAGGCCTTTCTTCTGAGGCACCGCTGGGTGGACTCGAACCAGCAACCTTTCGGTTAGCAGCCGAGGGTATTCTCTTTGCACCACCCAGGGACGCTGATCACACAGCAAGTAAGCAAGAGAGAAAGTTCACATCCAGGCTGTCTAGCTCCAGACTCTGTGCTCCTGAACACTTTGTATTCAGTCTTCTAAATTACCTTTATGAATAGAATTGCAGTTGTGAGTGTGATATAATCTAGTGGTGAAAGAGTATAAAGCTTTAGAATCAGACTGCTTCTATATAAATCCCAGTTTCTCTGCTTACAAACTTTATGAACTTGGACCAGTTACTTTGCCCTTTTATACCCCAGCATTTCCTCATCCATCGGTTAAGGAGAACAGCAGTGCCTACCTCATGGGATGGCTGTGAGGATTAAACAGTGTGTGTAAAGAGCTCAGCACATATCTGATACATAGTAGGTGCTCAATGCATATTGGCTAATAATAAGCAAGATAACAGTCTGACCACCAATGCCTCATTCTTGGATTCCAATGTAGGGCTAGACACATGAGATCTCAGTAACTATTTGCTGTCAATGATACTAATTATAAAGCTGACTTGATCTTTCATTCACAATATAAAGACAGCTTTAGCATTGTGTTGTACTGTGCTGTTCATCAAGAGATAAGAGACAAGGATTTGATATGTGTGTTAAGCATCTAAGATGAATTTTCAGGACCCTAACCAATTTTTACTTTGGCTCAAAAGTTTTATTTGAGGTTTAACCAAAGAGGAATATTTATACAGCCAAGTGAACCTGGAAATGGAAGCAAAAATCAGTTTCTTTATCTCACACATGCAAATATTGATTGGACAATACCCTGTTTCAGGAAGGGGGCCTTCTTTTGGTGAAAGTTGGAGCCATGGAAATTCATGCTTGAGGAGGAAGCTAGAGAGGATCTTGTACTGGATCACTGTCAGGAGCCATCAAATGCTTCTCCCTTAGTTACTGGTGTTACTTTCTTCCTAGAAATTTGACACTCTTGTTGGAGAAGGCGGAAGCCAGATGAGTGGCGGCCAGAAACAAAGAGTAGCCATTGCTAGAGCCCTTGTCCGCAACCCCAAGATCCTAATTTTGGACATGGCCACCTCAGCATTGGACAATGAGAGTGAAGCCATGGTACAAGAAGCACTGAGTAAGGTTTGTTGAAAGTCTGAGTTCGTTTTACATGCCCATGTGGAAATGCTTGTGCTGCTGTAGGAGAGGTAGCTCACTGAGAAAGAGGAAGAGAGAGAGAAGTGAACAGAGAAAGAGAGAGGAAACCACACACAGTCGATCCTCAATATTTGCAGATTCCATATTTGCGAATTCAGTTACTTTCTACAATTTATTTATAACCCCCAAATCAATATTTGTGGCCCTTTCACTATCATTCACAGACATCTGCAGGGTGGTGAAATATTTGGGTGGCTCGATGCACACATTCCCAGCTAAGTTTGAACAAATTGACACTGTGCCTTCAAGTGTCTTTTTTGCAGTCTATTTAGTGCCACTTTTTTTCATTTGTTTGGCTTTTTGTTGGTGACTTTGCTGTTAAAAATGGCCCTCAAGTGTACTACTGAAGTGTTGTCTAGTGTTCTTAAGCACAAGAGGCTGTGATGTGCCTTAAGAGAAAATACACTTGTTAGACAACTTTGTTCAAGCAGGAGTTGTAGTGCTATTGCCTGTAAGTTCAATGTTAATGAATCAATATTAGATACTAAATAAGTTGTCTTTAAACAGAAAAACACCTAAAACAAGGTTCTGTATTGATCAGTTGATGTAAATGTTGTGATCAGAGGCTTTCAGGAAACTAACACTATTTTTCTCCTAGAGGAAAGGTTCAGGATTCTCTAATTCAAAGTTCATGGAGACTTTATAGAACATTACCTCAAATAACAAGAATCAACTGTAGTTGAGTACTACGCAGATCAATGTATTCAGAGTGGCTGTTTAGAAAACATTGACATTATAATTTGCCTCCGGCTGAACAGAAGTCAATTATGAGTTGCTTCCAGAAACTGCACATGAAAATTCAAAAGTTTGTTCATTCTCTTATAATATGTGATTTAAAAATTTACTTATGTTTTGTTTGTTTTTAGCTGTTAATTAATAGCAGCAACCAGAACAATGTGTGATGACGTTTATGGTCACAGGAAAGTGTGTTGGCCTTTCCTAATGTCTGACAGTCTGTTTAAAGATTTTCCCAGAGACCAGGGATCTGACATACTTGGATCTGAGACAATCCACAGGAAAATATAAGCGCTGTCTTACAATCTCATTTAGTGGTGCATTGTGCATTCTTACAGATTCAGCAAGGACGTACAATCATCTCAGTCTCCCATCGCCTATCCACCGTTAGAGCTGCAGATGTCATCATTGGGTTTGAACATGGCACAACAGTGGAAAGAGGCACCCACAAAGAACTGTTGGAAAGGAAAGGAGTTTACTTCACTCTAGTGACTTTGCAAAGTCAAGCCCTTAACGAAAAGGATGTGCAGGGCAAGTGCCTTTCCCTTATGTGTACCTGTACATTAAAAATAGCAAACATATATATATTGTATAACATATACAGTGCTTTCTGGCTTTCTATGCATTTTAATATACACCCACTCCTCACCTATCAATATGACTAGGGTCCATACACCAGATCATTATGCAAAAATTGGCATTAGGCAAAAATGGAGGATGACCACATCAGATCACAGACTGGAGGATGACTACATCATTACATAACTGCCAAACCGCTGAGAATCATGACCCAGCCAAGTAGACACATTACCTTTATTTCACAGCCAGCGTTACTCTCGCCTCGCATCTTGGTGTTTTTTACTGCCAGATGTATGTCGTTAATAAGTAAAATAGTTGGATAGTAGATTTTTTACTATTGTCATAAATGCGATATGTTGGATAATGCGATAGTCGATGAGTGAGGAGTCGGAGTATATTGTCTTATTTTGCTCTCCTAAGAGCCTTGGTAGGTGTAATTATTTTCCTCTACTTATAGATGATAAAGGAAATTACTAAGGCAGGAAGGTCAAGTTACTTGATCAAATCATAGAGCTAAAACCCAGGTCTTTTTTTTCAATCCTATTCCCTTTCCTCAACGCTTTGCTAACAGGAGGGACTTCTTAGAGTGTCCTGCTCACAGTAGGAGCTCTATTCTTGTTGGCTGAGGGAACTAATAAATGACTACAAAGTATTCATTTATTTTCATTAGTGTAGATACTTCAGGCCCTACTGTACCTTCTCTTCTTCAAAGTGAATTCTCAGATTTGGTGTTTAAAAAAAAAAATCCATTGCTGTCAAGTCAATTATGACTCACAGTAACCCCATATGTTTCCGAGTAGAACTGCACTCCATAGGATTTTCAATGGCTGTAATCTTACAGAAGTAGATTGCCAGGCCTTTCTTCCATGGTGTCGCTGGGTGGATGCGAACCTCCAATCTTTCAGTCAGTAGCCAAGAGCAAACTCTTTGTGCCACCCGGTGATCACATTTGGTATTTACCAAACCTGAATTAATCAACCACTTCACGCTTTGTTTACCATTTCACGTTTGAATTTGTGAATTCCTTTGAGGCTAACTATTATATGTATTTAACGTATGTGACCCCTGTTCTGAATAGACCTAAAACGTTTGGTAGATTTTTCACTTTTTGCCACTTCTGGTGAGCTTCCCTTAAGTTTTTTATGATTCATGCCATAGGATATCAAATTCTGTGGAGGTAACACATACAGGCCATCATATGATTCAAATGGCTCAGTCTTGCTGAGTATTTTGAAATTTTCTGTTGGAATGTGCTGGACAAATGCTGAGTTATATTTATTGCAATAAAATTAATAAAAGCTTTAGTGCCAGGCATAGTAATTACATTCTAGACAAACAGTAAATAATTCTATTTTGGAATGGTTCTACTTGTTGTATACACTGAAGAATCACTCATGTTATGTTGAACAGGAAAAGATGCAACTGAAGATGCCTTACTTGAGAGAAAAAAAACCTTTACCAGAGGGAGTTACTGGGAGAGTTTAAGGTAAGTTCAAGTTGTGAGGCAGAATTTAAAGTTTTCAAATATCCTTCAGAGCTCCCTTCTGCTATGATCTTCAGGCAATATCCCAGGGTACAGCAAGGAAGCCCTAAACATATTGCTAAGTTTTGTGTAATATGAACATGCAAATGACTTCTATATTGACATGTCTGTCTGTAGTTCACGGTTTTGTTTAACACTGGTTGCTCATCTTTTTGGGTGTAGGGGTCATGGTGGAAAGACTCTAAATAGTTCAAGTGCTGTTTATTGATGTTAGAAAGGGGATTTAAAAAAGAATCTGTTTAGTTTTTTCCCCCAAAACTAATTGTGGTCTTATATGAAGGTCAAACTCATGCCTTTAGCTTCACTCTATAACTTACTGAGCTGCAGCTGAATTAATGAACACTTCTGCTCGCAGAGTAATCCATCTTTACCAAGATGAAATTAAAAACGAAAACATATTTTACACCTTTTAAAGGGAATTTTCCTAAACATAAGCTATTTGTTTTTCTATGGATCAATATGTGGGTATTCACTTTCAAAACATATTTTTGGAGTATGTTCTTATTAACAAGGCTAAAAATTTTAGTCTTAAACATGCTGGTTTAGAAGTTTCAATATTGGTTAGCAGCTGAGCACTTAATCACTGCACCACCAGGGTTCCTTTGGTGCTAAAAGTCTGTGTATTAAGAATTCTACCTGGGAGCATTTTTCTATATTCATGAAAATCTTTTTCAAGGTTTTTTTTTTTCTTAAGTTAGGACACTATTAGTAGGTACTGACATGCTAGCCTATCTCTCTTCTATTACCTTTACCATTTCTAGAGCATTTAATTCAAGGCTGTGCTCTAAGTAAAGGGTTAGTTATATGAATTGCTTGTTCAAGATGGTTAATTATTTACTGAAAAGTGGTTGAAGAGGCTTAAAATAAAATAGTCATGTAACAACTCCAAGTAGTTCAAACACAGGATTTAAAAAAAACTTTTTTTGAACAGTTCACAGAGTTTATGCTTAGGGTTTCTCGTTTCCTCCTGAAAACAAGCTTGTTCAGAAAAATTTCAAGAAATGCTAGTTTTATTGTATTTGGAAGATACTCAAGCAGTAGCTTCAAATTACTGTAGAAAATGAAAGCTGTAAAAATATATTATACCAAAATTATTAGGCAGTTTTTTATAGATAATTGGCATTACATTTAATAATGCTTTTCTGATTGGAATAAAAAAATTAAAATCATAAGGGTCATTAGAATAACAGCCTAAAGATACCACTAACTTCTTAAACACAGGGAATCACTAGAACTCTCTTTTGATCACGAGGCTAAAGGTTGAAAAGTGGAGGTGTATCTTGTGCTTATGTCAATAAAAAATAAATATTTTCTTAACTTTCAGAAGAACAAAATTCTACCTGTTTGAAACATTTTAAAATAAAACAAACCAACAAAAAAACAAACCCATTGCTGTCAAGTGGATTCTGACTTATAGTGACTCCCTTGGACAGGGTAAAACTGCCCCAGAGGGTTTCAAAGGAGTACCTGGTAGACTCAAAATGCTGACCTTTTGGTTAGCAAGCGTAGCTTTTAACCACTACGCCACCAGACTTCCCTGAAGCAGTTTACTTACAGTTTGTTATTAGAACCAAATAATCATTATTAATATAAACATTTCCTATTTGGCTATAATTTCTCACAAATCCTACATTTTGGTTACTAGGATAAGAAATTTAGAAATATAATGTACACACAGAAAAGGAGCTATTAACCTCCAGCAGAGAAAGATTTATAAATCTGAGCAAGAAGAAGCTCTGTTAAAAATATCTCACTGTGTATGGTGATAGATTTTTGTGGTGAGAGATGACTAAATGAAATGTTAATTTATATCTTATTTCTTGGGCTTCAGTCTTTCTAATGGCTAAGTTCCTCCTTAGTAATATATTTTAAGTTCAAGAACAATTTAATGGGTAACAGCAACTAATTTCCTAAATAATACTGTTAAGAGAAAGAGCACACTGAACCCTCAAATTAGCTGTTTTTATTTGCAGTGAGAAGGGTTTGCAGCTTCTGAGCAGGGTAGTGGCAAATATTGTAGGTTTCTGAAAAGGGTGTGATGGAATTCTTACTCTAATATTTATGGTGGACTAGAGGGGGGACTAGGAGTCCCTGCATGCTGAAAATAGTTAAGCACTAAGCTACTAACTAAAAAGTTGGAGGTTCAGACCCACCCAGAGGTGCCTTAGAAAAAAGGCCTGGCAATCTGCTTTCAAAAGGTCACAGCCATGAAAATCCTATGGAGCGCAGTTCTACTCAGCAGGACATGGGGTTGCCCTAAGTCAGAACTGACTCGTCAGGAAGTGGTTAACTGGTTAGAGGGGGAACCAGCAGTCAGAAAGAGCACCTGCCTGGCATGCTTACTGCCCATGGGCTTATTGTGACAGCCTGTATTAGACGGGTGGAATGGTTTTGAGAATGGGGGAGAGAGACTTAAGAAATCTAAGATTAAAGTAGTAGAAATCAGAGGAGCCAAGGATATAGGTCTTCCCATGCTCCAAACCGGGAGTAATCAACTATATCTTGACACCTTCTCCTTTAACACAAACACCTATCTTGGCTTCTGTTGTCCTGGGCTTGCTTTCTAGGCCCATGACCTCTGACTTTAAGTCTCAGCCCTGTCCCCAGATGGCAATGCCCATCTTCACAAATTCTGGAGAAGATATCCCGACCTTAGTTACCTAACCCTAAGAAATGACTCTATTGCTGTGGAGTTTCAGGTCAGGTGGGAGGGAATTGTATATCCAAGAGGATTGTTTGTGACAGGGAGTGAGGGTGAGGAGTGGTTCATGCCCGGTCATAATGAGACTTGACAAGAATTTGAATGTGCAAGAGCAAGGAAGAGGCAGGACTTGAGGTAAATGTACTGTGTTGAACCTGGATGACTAACAGGGTGGTAGTGCCATTAACAGAAGATGGAAACAAATTAGTGTAATTAAGCTGGCAAGTACTGCCTTCTTTAAGAAGGCTAAATGAGTATATAATAGGCAGGCACCACCCTGATATTTGTTTTAGTCTAACTTCACGTGGATACAAGTGATAGAAACACATGAATGGCTCCATCTAGATTGCACTCAAACAGTTGATCCAGGTCTCATCTAGCATCTTTAACATCTCTCTGTCTACATCATATTACTCCAGATTAAGCTTTCTAAAACATAGTTTTGATCATGCAATTTCCCTTAATCATGGACTCTGTCATTTAAGACTATTTGCAAATGACTGAAACTTAACCTAACCTGGTTTAACCTTTAAAAGGAAAGAAGCAGTTCACATAACTAAATGGTCCAAGGATGCTTTGGCTTCAGGTAAAGCTGGGGCTCCATGGTATGTCCAAGATAGATACAGTTTCTCTTCCTTTCTCACCTCTATGTTTTCAGTGTCGGCTTCATTTTTCAGGAATCTTCTTTCTTTGGTGTCTCAACATAATTGCCAGCAGCTCTTACAGCTCCATTCTTTTAGGTTGAACCTGGAAGAGTATGGGAGAATCCTTCCCAGAAATCTTGGGGGTAAAACAAAAACAAAAAACTAAACCAATCATTTTCTATACTTGCCATGTACTTACCCTGCTCTCTCCTGTCTCCATGCTTCTGTTACACTGTTCTGTCATTCAGAGATACTCTTCCTTCTAGTCTACAAATACCAGAATCCTATCTTAGTTACCTCTTTCAGGAAGCCTTTCACGATAACACCTGCTTTTTTTTTCCTTTACACTTCCCTGGTATTTATTCAAACCTGCCTTATAGCACTTGCCACTTTATTTCTTACATCAGGGTTAGGCATATGCATTGCTCATTTATAAGATTTTAAGCTCTCTGAGGGAAAAGTAAGGAGCCCTGGTGGCGCAGTGATTAAGCGCTCAGCTGCTAACTCAAAGGTTGGCTGTTTGAACCCACCAGCCGCTCTGTGGGAGAAAGATGTGGCAGTCTGCTTTCATAAAGTACAGCCCTGGAAACTCTATGGGATAGTTATACTCTGTCCTATAGAGTTGCTATGAGTTGGAATCGACTTGACAGTAATGGGTTTTATTTGGAGGGAAAAGTCTGATTGTCTAGTCTTTGTAACTCGCCCCTCCACCACCACCAGCACACACACACACACACAGCACCTGGCATTGGTTTGCATGTTATAGGTATCCAATAAGCTTCTGTTGAATGAATAAATGAATGAACACATCAATCTATATTATATTTCAATAAGATGTTTGTTAACTAAATGCATCCCTAGGGGTGGTACATAGCCTGGAGAAAATCTCATTAGGGGCCCTGTTTCCTCCTAACAGCTCATTTGTATCCAGGTGGTCTCACACTAAAGTGAACAACAGGTATAAACTTAAAAGAGAGAATCAAAACCACAACCTACAGCCAGAAGGGAGGTGAATAATAAAGGTGATGGACCTTTGCCATGGAAATTAGCAGAACTGGGTTTCACATGTATTTGAGTCTTGGCTGGTTTTTTTTTTTTTGGTAGATTGGTGGGACAACTTTCCTCCTCTTCCTCCCTCCCTGGCTGCACTCTGAACCAGGGTCCAGCAGTTACAAGAGCTTGATCTGCCCTGTGCAGCCATCTACCCCATTAGCTCTGCCCTAAGGTTAGCTCTGTCAAACTTAACCAGGAAGCTCCTTGACATGGTTGTCATGTGACCAACCACACGTTTCTGTTTATTTGACACAAGTGATGTAAATTTGGAAACCAGGTGAGTTCTGTTCCAACGGGCCCACAATATGCAGACTCTTTCATCTTTCTGTTTATTTGCAGAGCTTCCATCAGGCAACGCACCAAGTCTCAGCTTTCTCAACTGGCACATGAACCTCCATTAACTGTTCCAGATCATAAGTCTACTTATGAAGAAGACAGAAAGGTCAGGCACCAATCGCTCATGAGGGAATGGAAGCTGTCTCTCTTGAGGACCACTGCATGCCTTTTAAACCAGAAAATATGAGTTTTCTAGGCATATATCTAATAATATTTCAACAAGTTAGGCCAAATGAGGGAACCCATTTGGACCTGATAAAAACTCTGAATTTTACAAAATGTTTTAAAAGAAACACAGATAATTCTTACTTTTAAAAATACATGGTGACTAAAATTGGGCTACTAAAGGTAAATTAATAGTTCTTAGGGGAATCATTCTAATAAACACAGTGAAATTATTTGTACTAAGCATATTATTTGCTTATATGTGGTATCTTTTAAAATTTTTTAATATCTGAAAACACATTTTTTTCTTGAATTTTAAAATCTCCTCTTAAGCTATAATAACCTTGGCAAAAGTGTTTGTTCAACAAAGATACTTCGATAAAGCTAACTGTTACACAAGTTTTCACAGATTTTGAATTAACAGAGCCTGATTAGATTTTTTGGACATATGTTTACACAGTGGTCCACAATAGGCAAGTTTAGAATAAAGTATGGGACTATACATGAACTTATGACTATGACAGAAGATTATTAAGGCTCTCTTTTTATTTTAATGTATTAATATTGAGTAAGTAGAAGTCTCAATATCTAATAGTGTTGGTTTAAATAAATTTAATAGAACACTTTTTCTCGAGAACAGTGGGATGAATCACAGTGAGAGGAAGCATACTTAGCAAGCATGGTTTGTTACTGCATCTTGCCATGAAAGACTCAATTCCTCTTCTAGAAGCAGGTATTCTGTTTATGTCCATAGCATTGCCGCTAATGACTACAAGATGTACAAGATTTCAACAGAGCTTCAGGGGAGAAAGAACAAAACACTACATTGAAATTTCAAGCACAATAGTATCAGTTGTATTCTTTTTTTTCAGTTTCTGGGTAAACATTTGACAATAGACGGAAGAAAGGAAGGAAAGGAAGGAGGGGGAGGGAGGGAGAGAAGGAAGTAAGGGAGGAAGGAAGGAAGGACAGACCTGACCTTTTTATTGTTGTTGAAGCTGGTAGATGGCCCAGCACAGTTGCAGAGGACAATCAGATTCCCTGGAGATGTAGAGTGGGCATAGAGTTCTTATGATGCAGGAAAAATCTCAGAAGGGAGCCATTTAAATAGACCAAAACCAAATCAAACCCACTGCTGTCTAGTTGATTTCCACTTATAGCGACCCCATAGGGTTTCCAAGACTGTAAATTTCTACAGAAGCCGACTGCCGCATCTTTCTCCTGAGGAGTCACTGGTGGTTTCGAACCGCCAACCTTTTGGTTAGCATTTGATTGCTCTGACCACTGCGGTGCCAGGGCTCTTTATTTATCTATTTATTTTTAATTTATTTATTTTTTATTGTACTTTAGGTGAAGGTTTACAGAACAAATCGTTTCTCATTAAACATTCAGTACACATATTGTTTTATGACATTGGTTAACAACCCCACGACATGTCAACACTCTCCCTTCTCGGCCTTGGAGGACCTTTTTTTTTCTTTTTTTTGATGAAAATATACATAGCCAAAGATACACCATTTCAAAAATTTCTGCACGTACCATTCAGTGATGTCAATTACATTCTTCCAGTTGTGCTGCTATTCTCACTTTAGATGAAGGTTTACAGAACAAAATAGTTTCTCATTAAACAGTTAGTACACATAATGCCCTATGACAATGGTTAACAACCCCACGACATGTCAACACCGTCCCTTCTCAACCTTGGGTTCCCTATCACCAGCTTTCCTGTCCCCTTCTGCTTTCTAGTCCTTGTTCCTGGATTGCTGTGCCTCATTAGTCCCGTTTTATGGGACTGTCCAATCCCCAGCTGAATGGTGAACTTTGGCAGTGACTTCACCACTGAGCTTAAAGGGTGACAGGGGCCATACTCTTGGGGTTTCCCCAGTCTCTGTCAGGCCAGTAAGTCTGGTCTTTTTTTGTGTGTTA